GGAGGGCGAGTTCCACGTCCTGTTTATTTGTAAAAGTATTAGTACCTGATATTAAAATATCTCCCAAGCCTATCTGATGTTAAACATTATTCAATTGAAACTCATGTGTAATATATTAAATACAAATAATGAGGATAATTTACGAGCACTCGCCATTTTTTCTTAAAATGTATTTCTATTGAGATGTAAATGGAAATAGAAATATTGTTGTATTAATTCACCACGTGACATGTGTTCTATCAAATACAATTGTTTTCTAGGCTATGCGACCGAAATACTGAATAAATATATATATCATATATATCAATTTCAAAGTTTCTACTTTTGTTCATAATCGCATTCCAGGGATTTTAGAATCAGGAGTTTCCTTCGACCAGTACGAGTCTCAGTCATGCTGATTGCGCTGGTCAGTATCAGAATCAAGTTAACTCTGCGTAAACGAAATTACATTTTCAACATTTTTCAAAACAAATGGACCCATATATTTCAGTATAAATTAATAGATTTATCTGAAATGGGTGAGAGGCCAGATTACCAACAGTTTTGTAACACGTACTCGTTACCTTGTTATTCTGTGGGTGTTACAGATGGTTATGTAAAGAAGGCAGAAACACGAACTGCAGTGTATTGGACGAGTGTCAGTAAAGACATTAAAATATTAATTCTGTATTTTAACGTTTTTCAACAGGATTCTCGCACGAAGCGAGCAATTCTTCCATTTATTGTATCAATTAGTCGTTCGTTCTGTAGTATTACTTCAGTCGAAGATGTAGAACGGCTGTCGCAGTATGTCAAACATCGATCGTTGCATGTAGCTAATACTTCTCGTGTTGTTCAGGTTCGTCAGATGTCGTCATTTATAGCTAATGACCGTATTGAAACGAATTATAGGGATGTATACACAGTGGAATCTGCCAAATCCGGACTCTTTGTAAACCGGTTTTCTCCATAACCCGCACTACTCTCAGAGTCCCGGCAAATTGTTCTTAATTTATCACCGGGTCAGAATATTGATCTTCATTGATCTCCGCGGTGGCTGAGCGGTCTAGGCGTCTGACTTTGCGTGCTGGCGATTAGGTGCCTGACTCTGAGGGTGTGGGTTCGAATCCCGGAGGGGACTCAACCCAAAAAAGTACTAGAATCTGTACTTTACAAAGAAAGTGTAATCCCAAATATAATATATGTTACATTTGACCACTTTCTAAAATGGCATTGTGTATTTCATATTCTACTGTTGCTTCTCTTCAATATTACTTGCTAGGACCGATTCTCATCCATGTTTCAATGTATGCTCTCTCAGTTCATCACATATTTATCTGTATTGCTAAAAACGTTAAGCAAAAACAATTTTGTAGTTAGAAGAATTGTCCGTGTTTATAACACTTGCAAAGTCTTAACCTGCTATTTGTTGTCATCTATTGGTAATGATTTTGCACATGTGCGAAAGTGTGGAAATTCGTGCAAATTCTCACCTTCGAGCAGACGAAGGTTTTGTGAACGATGGTGCCGACATTTAACCGATCGTCAGGCCCTAACGCATTCCTTGATCCGCCTCAAATCTTTTTGTCTTGACCGTAATGGTTTTGTTAAAAGGTACAGATCAAATCACAGCAATATTTAGTAGATATAGCGAGTGTGAATGGCATAATTCGAAGCACATCGCTTCGGAGGCATCGTTTGACCCGGAAATAAGTCTGACAAATCCACACAAAGAGGCCTGCCTGCTGATTGGCCAAAATTGACGCATGCGCCAGTTTTGATTGACAGACTGGACGGTCTATTGTACTAAATGATTAGTCAGTAGTACGTCAATTTTTTCCGAAAATAACATTTGTTTTAAGATTGCGGGTTTCCAAATACCAAACTAATTGATCATTTACCGCTCGTTTCCAGGTGATAATAACACCATGTTGAAGATACGGGGTAAGGTCTGTATGTCGTCCACGTTTTGGACGTAGGACGACAAGGGAAATTCTGCCACGAAAAGAAAAACAACCTCCGGGGAAATCAATGTTTGGTACTTGTTGCTAAATGTAGCGGTCTAAAGACATAGTTTAGCAAATGCTGCAATGACTGGAGTGTGAATAGTTCCATCGCCTCCAGCAGTATCATGGGATCCGTTGTGACATTCACCATATATTTATAACTAACTGTATTCTTTACTTCTTCCCTTATAAGCTGCAAAATGAAGAATGTACGGTTGGAAGTTCCCCAGGTTTTGCGAGTGTCAAATTAATCAATGAAAAACTTGTGATTATTGTTACTTTTAACTTTTTTGAACCATGAAATATGTTTAGAGAACAGTTGCTTCAAGTTATCAACTGTATGTCGGCGAAAATATGTTTTTTGTTCCAATTCTTTCTTACTTGTTTGCAGTCATTACTAAACCATGGTTTACTGACGTGCGAAGTTGCAGGAATTTCATGTAGATCTACTCTAAATGAAGTGGGTCGGAAATAGTTCATTTCTGTAAATTGTCAGGTGTTATACTAAGACGAAATTCGATGGTTTCAGAAAATTTCATTCACATCGTGTTCTGAATTTCGTGCAAACACGCCAGTTCATGATGTTCACGTAAACATGGCCGGGGTAAACGTCGAATTGAACAGTGCAACGTGTCAGTGTGGTGGTGTCAGAGGTAAGTAGTTCTGATACTGTTTTGTTTTTACATGCGGCGTCGGTTAGGTCAAAAACGGCTACCTGCAATGAGCATGATGGCGAGTTGGCCCAAGACGGAGCTTTGTGTCGGGAGCTCTTTACGTTTCACAGCAGATTACACTAACAGACAAAGAACGTTGATGACGATCCTGTCGGTCAACGGCACAAAAGAATAATTGTGCTAGGAGACCGTGGGACATGGACAACACAGACCTGACGACCCAACGTCACCCTGTTGGACATTACTTCCTGTGTGTCCTGTGAGACACATACTGGTCGGAATACAGCTTCTAAATACTGATGACGTTATAACCGCCCCTGTCTTTGGTAACTATAGTTTTTGTTTTTGTAGTCGGTGTTTAGTTCGGCATCCTATCAGAAACTTGTGATATCCCTGAAGTCCACAGGCTTAATTGGAAAATCGCCATCCAAGGTCACTTACCAAGAAGCTGGAAACACACGGTACCAGCGTCACAATAACCCATCATAAATCGGGGTATGTCAATTATAGTTAAACCACATTCATGGGCTGCCCGGAGCAAGCTGTGATCTTACCTTATATGATCAGTGCGTTTTGTGTGCAGTTTTAAATGGCAAAAGCGCTAAATGCAACCGGTGTGTCTGATTTGAGCCGAATAAAATGTAAGATTTATTGCCCTTGCCCTGATAGATTGTGAGGATTTCTTTTTATGTTGACTGGGAATGAGGCGAGTACGTCAGGGTTAGAATATTATCCTATGTTACTTGAATGTAAATGTTTTCTTCAAATAACAAATGACGCATCACACTGGCAACACATGTCAAATGACTTTCATAACAAAAGGCCAACAGGGGCCAACACACTGAAGCTACCGGATGCTGGTTCAAGTGACGCTGTCACAGCAAACAACTATACAGCAGTTTTAATAACTAATTTTCACATTCAAAACGTGTCGTTATAACCGTTTTGTTTTGCTGACATATAACAGAAGCATGTCTGCATTTTCGACAGAGACAGATATAAAGTATCTTACTTTTGTGTGAAAATCGTAATCAAGAACATGTTGTATATATTCCAGCGATTATCATCATAATATGACGCACGAAGTGCACAGAGTTCGAAAACCGTTCGATTAGCTGTTTTTGATTTCACTATGTGCACATTTATTTTACCGACTGCTTTATTTAAACTATTTTATGCATTGAATCGTTTGCACACTCAACTTAAACATAATAATCATTTTTATAGCAGTCTTAAAATTGTCAGAATGTGTTTCACTGATTATAAAAATCCAGTCGAGAAACAGACGACATTTTGTTTACATGTCATATAGTTGGTAGCGTTCTTCAAAATAAACAAAATGATATTTCGTACATTTAACATGGCGGTAAGATAAACACGTTGTAAACTTCTCCCTCGGGTTATACGGTCTGATGTACGCCTTTTTGTAGCAGTGTTATCCCTCGCCTACCGGCTCATGTGACACTGCTACAAAGAAGCATACATCAGACGGTATTACCATCGAGAGAAGCATACAACTTATATTATTTGCATGTAACTAATGCATGAGTGAGTGAGTGAGTGAGTGAGTTTAGTTTTACGCCGGACTCAGCAATATTCCAGGTATTTGGCAGCGGTCTGTAAATAATCGAGTCTGGACCAGACAATCCAGGGATCAACAGAATGAACATCGTTCTACGCAATTGGGATACGTCTAATGCATGAGGACGATATGGGTGAAGTGTCGCTTAAAGGGTATTCAGTTCATAGACATGTTTATATTTGTTAAAATGATTGAAATATTATTATTCATTACAGTCAAAAATTGTTACAGAGTATTTTATGTATTGTTGACTGCGATAGAGCTATAAATATGTTACGGCTGAAAGTTATTGGATATTTATATAGCGCACATATCCACGCACTAGTGCATGCTCAAGCCGCTGGTAGTTTTTCCCTTGATCATTGGATGTCAATCTCAACGGCACATCTTATTATCAATCTCAACTCCCTGGGGATCATACAACTCTTGCAGCCACTAGGCGCACCGAGTTATTGCAGCTTTCCCATCCATACGAGGTTCTCATTCACAGCTGGGTGGACTGGTTCTGATGACAAGCATGTAACACTAGTGACGTAGTTCTGATGACAAGCATAGAACACTGGTGACCTAGTTCTGATGACAAGCATAGAACACTGGTGACCTAGTTCTGATGACAAGCATAGAACACTGGTGACCTAGTTCTGATGATGAGCATGGAGCAGCGGTGACCCAGTTCTTATGACAAGCATGGAACACTGGTGACCTAGTTCTGATGAAAGAGAAAGACCTATCGCAGTACATACTGACACACAAGGTCTGTTACTTTGTCAAAGTGGCTCACAGATATTTAATTGTTACAGTTTTTTCATGAGGTTAGAAATCTATATCATCAACAGTTGGCTTCCTCCTGTCCAGCTGCAACTTCTTCACTTCCTCTTCACAACCAGCAACACCGGACACCTTCAAGTCTGTGGTGGTGCTGTCCACAGGCTGCCGACTGCAGGAACCTCCACATGACTTCTGTGCTGTGACGTCGTCCATCTCACCAAGCACTGCAGCAGAACTTGAAGTACTCTCAGATTCTTCTCGAGCCAGCTTGTCTGCCAGCTGAAAACATAATATTGACTAATCACACTGATTAATGTTTCAGCATAAAATGTCATTAATCAGAACCATTAAAGTCTAAAACCTTGATAATAATGTTGCATGTATTTCTAACTTTATAATGTCAGTTATGGTTTTTCTCGAACACACCGTCTACACAGAGATTATTTATGGCTTCAGACTGTCCAACAGTCACCAAAAGTCTTCATTTGTATCCACCAGTCACCCAATGTCTTCACTTGCATCCAACAGTCACCTAATGTCTTCACTTGCATCCAAAAGTCACCCAATGTCTTCACTTGCATCCAACAGTCACTCAATGTCTTCACTTGCATCCAACAGTCACCCAATGTCTTCACTTGCATCCATCAGTCACCAAACGTCTTCACTTGCATCAATCAGTCACCCAATGTCTTCACTTGCATCCAACAGTCACCCAATCTCTTCACTTGCATCCAACAGTCACCTAATGTCTTCACTTGCATCCAACAGTCACCCAATATCTTCACTTGCATCCAACAGTCACTCAATGTCTTCACTTGCATCCAACAGTCACCAGACGTCTTCACTGGCATCAACCAGTCACCCAATGTCTTCACTTGCATCCACCAGTAACCTAATGTCTTCACTTGCATCCAACAGTCACCCAATGTCTTCACTTGCATCCAACAGTCACCCACTGTCTTCACTTGCATCCAACAGTCACCTAATATCTTCACTTGCATCCAACAGTCACCCAATGTCTTCACTTGCATCCAACAGTCACCCAATGTCTTCACTTGCATCCATCAGTGTCTTCACTTGCATCCAACAGTCACCTAATATCTTCACTTGCATCCAACAGTCACCCAATGTCTTCACTTGCATCCAACAGTCACCCAATGTCTTCACTTGCATCCATCAGTCACCTACTGTCTTCACTTGCATCCAACAGTCACCTAATATCTTCACTTGCATCCAACAGTCACTCAATGTCTTCACTTGCATCCAACAGTCACTCAATGTCTTCACTTGCATCCAACAGTCACCCAATGTCTTCACTTGCATCCAACAGTCACCTACTGTCTTCACTTGCATCCAACAGTCACCCACTGTCTTCACTTGCATCCAACAGTCACCTAATGTCTTCACTTGCATCAAACAGTCACCTACTGTCTTCACTTGCATCCAACAGTTACTTGCATCCAACAGTCACCTAATGTCTTCACTTGCATCCAACAGTCACTTAGTGTCTTCACTTGCATCCAACAGTCAATTACTGTCTTCACTTGCATCCAACAGTCACTTAATGTCTTCACTTGCATCCAACAGTCACCTACTGTCTTCACTTGCATCCAACAGTCACCTACAGTCTTCACTTGCATCCAACAGTCACCCAATGTCTTCACTTGCATCCAACAGTCACCTACTGTCTTCACTTGCATCCAACAGTCACCCAATGTCTTCACTTGCATCCAACAGTCACCTACTGTCTTCACTTGCATCCAACAGTCACCTAATGTCTTCACTTGCATCAAACAGTCACCTAATGTCTTCACTTGCATCCAACAGTCACCTACTGTCTTCACTTGCATCCAACAGTCACCTAATGTCTTCACTTGCATCCATCAGTCACTCAATGTCTTCACTTGCATCCAACAGTCACTCAATGTCTTCACTTGCATCCAACAGTCACCTACTGTCTTCACTTGCATCCATCAGTCACCTAATGTCTTCACTTGCATCAAACAGTCACCTAATGTCTTCACTTGCATCCAACAGTCACCTACTGTCTTCACTTGCATCCAACAGTCACCCAATGTCTTCACTTGCATCCAACAGTCACCTAATGTCTTCACTTGCATCAAACAGTCACCTACTGTCTTCACTTGCATCAAACAGTCACCTACTGTCTTCACTTGCATCCAACAGTTACTTGCATCCAACAGTCACCTAATGTCTTCACTTGCATCCAACAGTCACTTAGTGTCTTCACTTGCATCCAACAGTCAACTACTGTCTTCACTCTTGCATCCAACAGTCACTCAATGTCTTCACGCTTGCATCCAACAGTCACCTACTGTCTTCACTTGCATCCAACAGTCACCTATTGTCTTCACTTGCATCAAACAGTCACCTACTGTCTTCACTTGCATCCAACAGCTACTTGCATCCAACAGTCACCTAATGTCTTCACTTGCATCAAACAGTCACCTACTGTCTTCACTTGCATCCAACAGTTACTTGCATCCAACAGTCACCTAATGTCTTCACTTGCATCCAACAGTCACTTAGTGTCTTCACTTGCATCCAACAGTCACCTACTGTCTTCACTTGCATCCAACAGTCACTCAATGTCTTCACTTGCATCCAACAGTCACCCACTGTCTTCACTTGCATCCAACAGTCACCTAATGTCTTCACTTGCATCAAACAGTCACCTACTGTCTTCACTTGCATCCAACAGTTACTTGCATCCAACAGTCACCTAATGTCTTCACTTGCATCCAACAGTCACTTAGTGTCTTCACTTGCATCCAACAGTCAACTACTGTCTTCACTTGCATCCAACAGTCACTCAATGTCTTCACTTGCATCCAACAGTCACCTACTGTCTTCACTTGCATCCAACAGTCACCTAATGTCTTCACTTGCATCAAACAGTCACCTAATGTCTTCACTTGCATCCAACAGTCACCTACTGTCTTCACTTGCATCCAACAGTCACCTAATGTCTTCACTTGCATCCATCAGTCACTCAATGTCTTCACTTGCATCCAACAGTCACTCAATGTCTTCACTTGCATCCAACAGTCACCTACTGTCTTCACTTGCATCAAACAGTCACCCAATGTCTTCACTTGCATCCAACAGTCACCTAATGTCTTCACTTGCATCCAACAGTCACCTACTGTCTTCACTTGCATCCAACAGTCACCTAATGTCTTCACTTGCATCAAACAGTCACCCAATGTCTTCACTTGCATCCAACAGTCCCCTACTGTCTTCACTTGCATCCAACAGTCACCTACTGTCTTCACTTGCATCCAACAGTCAACTTGCATCCAACAGTCCCCTACTGTCTTCACTTGCATCCAACAGTCACCTAATGTCTTCACTTGCATCCAACAGTCACCCAATGTCTTCACTTGCATCCAACAGTCACTTAGTGTCATCACTTGCATCCAACAGTCACCTAGTCTTCACTTGCATCCAACAGTCACCTACTTTCACTTGCATCTAACAGTCACCTACTGTCTTCACTTGCATCCAACAGTCACCTACTGTCTTCACTTGCATCCATCAGTCACCTAATGTCTTCACTTGCATCAAACAGTCACCTAATGATCTTCACTTGCATCCAACAGTCACCTACTGTCTTCACTTGCATCCAACAGTCACCCAATGTCTTCACTTGCATCCAACAGTCACCTAATGTCTTCACTTGCATCAAACAGTCACCTACTGTCTTCACTTGCATCAAACAGTCACCTACTGTCTTCACTTGCATCCAACAGTTACTTGCATCCAACAGTCACCTAATGTCTTCACTTGCATCCAACAGTCACTTAGTGTCTTCACTTGCATCCAACAGTCAACTACTGTCTTCACTTGCATCCAACAGTCACTCAATGTCTTCACTTGCATCCAACAGTCACCTACTGTCTTCACTTGCATCCAACAGTCACCTATTGTCTTCACTTGCATCAAACAGTCACCTACTGTCTTCACTTGCATCCAACAGCTACTTGCATCCAACAGTCACCTAATGTCTTCACTTGCATCAAACAGTCACCTACTGTCTTCACTTGCATCCAACAGTTACTTGCATCCAACAGTCACCTAATGTCTTCACTTGCATCCAACAGTCACTTAGTGTCTTCACTTGCATCCAACAGTCACCTACTGTCTTCACTTGCATCCAACAGTCACTCAATGTCTTCACTTGCATCCAACAGTCACCCACTGTCTTCACTTGCATCCACCAGTCACCTAATGTCTTCACTTGCATCAAACAGTCACCTACTGTCTTCACTTGCATCCAACAGTTACTTGCATCCAACAGTCACCTAATGTCTTCACTTGCATCCAACAGTCACTTAGTGTCTTCACTTGCATCCAACAGTCAACTACTGTCTTCACTTGCATCCAACAGTCACTCAATGTCTTCACTTGCATCCAACAGTCACCTACTGTCTTCACTTGCATCCAACAGTCACCTAATGTCTTCACTTGCATCAAACAGTCACCTAATGTCTTCACTTGCATCCAACAGTCACCTACTGTCTTCACTTGCATCCAACAGTCACCTAATGTCTTCACTTGCATCCATCAGTCACTCAATGTCTTCACTTGCATCCAACAGTCACTCAATGTCTTCACTTGCATCCAACAGTCACCTAATGTCTTCACTTGCATCCAACAGTCACCTAATGTCTTCACTTGCATCCAACAGTCACCTACTGTCTTCACTTGCATCCAACAGTCACCTAATGTCTTCACTTGCATCAAACAGTCACCCAATGTCTTCACTTGCATCCAACAGTCCCTACTGTCTTCACTTGCATCCAACAGTCACCTACTGTCTTCACTTGCATCCAACAGTCAACTTGCATCCAACAGTCCCCTACTGTCTTCACTTGCATCCAACAGTCACCTAATGTCTTCACTTGCATCCAACAGTCACCCAATGTCTTCACTTGCATCCAACAGTCACTTAGTGTCATCACTTGCATCCAACAGTCACCTAGTCTTCACTTGCATCCAACAGTCACCTACTTTCACTTGCATCTAACAGTCACCTACTGTCTTCACTTGCATCCATCAGTCAACTACTGTCTTCACTTGCATCCAACAGTCACTCAATGTCTTCACTTGCATCCAACAGTCACTTAGTATCATCACTTGCATCCAACAGTCACCTAGTCTTCACTTGCATCCAACAGTCACCTACTGTCTTCACTTGCATCCATCAGTCACCTACTGTCTTCACTTGCATCCAACAGTCAACTTGCATCCAACAGTCCCCTACTGTCTTCACTTGCATCCAACTGTCACCTACTGTCTTCACTTGCATCCAACAGTCACCTAATGTCTTCACTTGCATCCAACAGTCACCTAATGTCTTCACTTGGCTTTAGGACAGTTTACTTGTATCCAAGATGTCCCCCAATGTGTTTACTTGTATCCAAGATGTCCCCCAATGTGTTTACTTGTATCCAAGATGTCCCCCAATGTGTTTACTTGTATCCAGGATGTCCCCAAATGTTTTACTTGTATCCAAGATGTCCCCCAATGTGTTTACTTGTATCCAAGATGTCCTCCAATGTGTTTACTTGTATCCAAGATGTCCCCCAATGTGTTTAATTGTATCCAGGATGTCCCCAAATGTGTTTACTTGTATCGAAGATGGCCCCAAATGTATTTACTTGTATCCAAGATGTCCCCCAATGTGTTTAATTGTATCGAAATGTCCCCCAATGTGTTTACTTGTATCCAAGATGTCCTGTAATGTATTTACTTGTATCCAGAATGTCGCACAATGTGTTTACTTGTATCCAAGATGTTCCCCAATGTATTTACTTGTATCCAGGATGTCGCACAATGTGTTTACTTGTATCCAAGATGTCCCCCAATGTGTTTACTTGTATCCAGGATGTCGCACAATGTGTTTACTTGTATCCAAGATGTCCCCGATGTGTTTACTTGCATCGAAATGTCCCCCAATGTATTTACTTGTATCAAAGATGTCCCATAATGTATTTACTTGTTTCCAAGATGTCCCCCAATGTGTTTACTTGTATCCAGGATGTCGCCCAATGTGTTCACTTGTATCCAGGATGTCGCACAATATGTTTACTTGTATCCAAGATGTCCGTCAATGTGTTTACTTGTATCCAAGATGTCCCTCAATGAGTTTACTTGTATCCTAGATATCCCCCAATGTGTTAACTTGTATCCAAGATGTCGCCCAATGCGTTTACTTGTATCCAAGATGTCCCCCAATGTGTTTACTTGTATCCAAGATGTCCCTCAATGCGTTTACTTGTATCCAAGATGTCCCCCAATGTGTTTACTTGTACCCAAGAGGTCCCCCAATGCATTTACTTGTTTCCTGGATGTCACGGTCTTTGTGTGAAGATGTCCTGTAACAACTTTACTTGTTAACAAGAACTTCCATCAGAACCAGGAAGAGAGTCTTCAAAATCAGTTTTCACTGTCTGAACTTTGGGGCTTTCCTGGTCTTGCATGAGTTGTCTCCCTTGGACACTTATCTAAAAAAAACCTGTCTTACCTTCCTCCTTTCTTTGTGCTCCTTGCCAATACCGAGTCTGGGGGAGAAAGATATGCATATATATATATATATATATATAATAAAGACATGGTTTTGGATCTACAGGCAGGCAAAAACAATAACAGTTGATTCAGATAACTGCCCTGGGCCATAGTATGACCTTATGAACATATAGATTAAAACAGTACAAAATATCAAAGTAGACATGACAGAGTCTAAGGTCTACCTACCACCTACCATGGCAGTCCTCTGTTAAGTCCTTCCAGAAGCACACAGGCTTTACACACTGGGTTGCTGGACATGTAGCCACAGCGAGAACACAGACCTACCGTGGCAGTCCTCTGTTGAGTCCCTCCAGAAGCACGCAGGCTTTACACACTGGGTTGCTGGACATGTAGCCACAGCGAGAACACAGACCTGCCGTGGCAGTCCTCTGTTGAGTCCTTCCAGAAGCACACAGGCTTTACACACTGGGTTGCTGGACATGCAGCCACAGCGAGAACACAGACCTACCGTGGCAATCCTCTGTTGAGTCCCTCCAGAAGCACACAGGCTTTACACACTGGGTTGCTAGACATGTAGCCACAGCGAGAACACAGACCTGCAGGGGAAGACCGACAGTCTCGTGAGGTCAACATGGTCATGCGGTGGTAAGTGAGTGAGGTTTTACTTTGCTTTAAGGAATAGTCTAGCAATCTCATGACAGGGGACACCAGAAAAAAACATAGCACAGCAAAACACATGATTGTCTGTCATTCTCTCCATGTCAGTGTATCTCTCATGCAAAACATGATTGTCTCTCATTCTCTCCATGTCAGTGTATCTCTCATGCAAAACATGATTGTCTCTCATTCTCTCCATGTCAGTGTATCTCTCATGCAAAACATGATTGTCTCTCATTCTCTCCATGTCAGTGTATCTCTCATGCAAAACATGATTGTCTCTCATTCTCTCCATGTCAGTGTATCTCTCATGCAAAACATGATTGTCTCTCATTCTCTCCATGTCAGTGTATCTCTCATGCAAAACATAATTGTCTGTCATTCTCTCCATGTCAGTCCATGCAAAACATGATTGTATCATTCTCTCATGTATCTCTCATGCAAAACATGATTGTCTCTCATTCTCTCCATGTCAGTGTATCTCTCATGCAAAACATGATTGTCTGTATCTCTCATCATTGTCTCTCTCTCCATGTCAGTGTATCTCTCATGCAAAACATGATTGTCTGTCATTCTCTCCATGTCAGTGTATCTCTCATGCAAAACATGATTGTCTGTCATTCTCTCCATGTCAGTGTATCTCTCACACAAAACATGATTGTCTCTCATTCTCTCCATGTTAAAGTGTGTGTCTCATACAAACAATATATCATTGTCTCTCATTGTCTCCATGTGACTGTTTGTCTCTCATACAAAACAGAATGAGAAGCCTGTACATGAGAGTATGCAGGGTAGAGCACTCACCTTGCACTGGCATTCTAACCTCCTTCTTCACAGATAGACTCTCCCCTGAATGGATGATGTCTGAAAACACAGTACAATGTGGTTACAGAGTCAGTGGTTAGTCACTTGGTTACTAAGTCAGTCTCCTATTTAGCTCATCTGTCACTCAGTTACCTTGTCAGTCCCCTAATTACCAGTTCAGTTCAGGTCATTCTGGGAAAACCTCTGATGGTAGTAAAAGTGTACATATACAACATACTATACACAGTCAATCAAGATCACAACATATGTAGGTGATTTACTTATTATACCTTTACTCAAACTTTATATGTTCTCTGAGAATGAAATTCTAGATGTCATAAAAACTATGCCTGCCAAAACCTGTGTTCTGGATCCAATATTGACTGCTCTTGTTCAAGGGAGTATGGATGTTCTCCTTCCAACCACCACTGACATTGTGAACAAGTCCCTCAAAGAGGGTACAGTTCCTACAGCATTCAAACAAGCCGTTGTCAAGCCACTTCCAAAGAAAGATAATCTGAATCAAAATGAACTAAAAAACTATAGGCCTGTTTTGAACCTGTCATTCATATCAAAGGTTCTAGAGAAGTGTATTTCTCTGAGGCTACAACAACATCTAAAGAACAACAGTTTATATGAAAAATTCCAGTCTGCCTACAGATGTGGAGACAGCACAGATACAGCTTTGATCCAAGTTACCAATGACAATCATAACTGCTGTTGATAAAGGCAAGATGGTAATCTTGGTGTTACTAGATCTTTCATCAGCCTTTGACACCGCGGATCATAACATTCACTCAGTATTCCTTAAACACGACCTTGGCATTACAGAGATTGCACTTGCATGGTTCAAATCCTATTTAGATGACCGAAAACAGCCAGTGGTTATAAACAGCTCAACATCAGACTCATGTGATCTTAACTGAGGAGTTCAACAAGGTTCAATATTAGGTCCTATCTTGTTTACACTGTATACTTGATTGCTCAGCAAGATTGCAGACAAGCATGGTCTAAATCAACATCTGTGTGCTGATGATAATCAGATAAACATCGGAACAAGGTAGAACAATCAAGCAATGGATGCTGTGCCATCTACTAAAACTCAATCAGGACAAGACCAATCATGGTAATAGGCACAACAAAGCATATCCAACAGTGAAACAGTATTCCTCAGCTTGTCACTGGAGATTCCGTCATCACTCCATCAGCAAAATTGAAGAATTTGGGTGTACTGTTTGACCAACAGCTGAGTATGAATCACCATGTTACTCGTGTGCCAGACTACAAACTATCATCTCAGAAACATCGGGGAGATCCGTCCATACCTCACCAGACCTGCTGCACAAAAACTGACTGTTTCCCTTATTTTATCCAGATTGGACTATTGTAATTGTTTAGTTGTCAACACTGCTGCCAGAATCACCCCCAGAGCGTCAAGGTTTGACCCCATCTCCCCAGTACTGAAAGAGCTCCATTGGTTGCCAGTTTCACTCCTCATTTACTATAACATACTTCTGTATGTATAAATGTTTTCACAAAATTGTGCCACGGTAACCTCACTGAACTACTCAACATCTATTGTCCCCCGAGACCTCTTAGAAGACGAAAGCAAAAACCTTGCATCATTCCAAAAATTCAGACATCAGCTTTTGGCAACAGAACATTCAAACATGCAGCTGCTGAAAAATGGAACTGTCCATCCTAAAACCTGAAGTCTGCCTCTTCATTTGAATCTTTCAAGTCGCAATCAAAGACTGTTGTCTTCTCCCAGGCTTTCCCTTACTAAGCGCACAGAGCATAGGACTGTGAATGATGCGCTATAGAAATTAAAGAATTTATATTCCAACATAGCTGCAGTGAGTGAGTGAGTGAGTGAGTGACCATGTAAATGCCCTGTGGCCAGTATTCCAGTAATATCCTGGCATGTCAGTTTTACGCTGGAGGAGAGTCTGGTAGCCTACATGCCTGGTGCCCCCTACTGACCTATGATAGCACTGGGACGGATCTTCTCAAGGTCCTTAATGAATGCACGAGCAAATCCCCTGAAAGAAAAACATCATGATCTAAATACACGATTATTCTTCATGTGAAATGTATATCAAACACAAATAGGGAAGACAGTAAGATGCAAGGCAAGCCACAACATGTTAATGATCATTTTACATTACTCAACATTTCCAGTCACACAAGTAACCCTTTTCTTCCATGAATAGAATATGTTTAAATCAAAGGGAAAGTTGACTAACATTGGTGCTGTGTTGGTCTTAGAGAATAGAAGCTTGGAAAGTTCAATGAAGGGAGTGCGTTATCACTGTGCAACCAACACACATGCATCACTAACATATTTCTACCAGCGGTTTTATTTGTCTCCATTTCCTGTGATCTGAGAGGTTGGTACTACTGGCATGTCATCACAGACAACTATAGGTCATTCATAAAATCATGATGTTCAACAAAAGCATAACCACAGAAGCTTGTGTCATTGTGGAAGGATTGAGGCTGCACAGAATGGTTGACGCTACTACAGGAATCATTCAACTTGTCACAGGCATAAATCCGAAATACAAGTCACTGTGATCATAGACAAATTTACTGATAATGGCAGCCATATGTATGACAATACCAACTCAACAGTTACAATACGCAACTGTTTGGGATGACAGATACACTAAGTATACACTAGATACACTTGGTGGGGGAATAGATACACTAAGTGGGGAAATAGATACACTTGGTGGGGGAATAGATACACTTGGTGGGGGAATAGATACACTTGGTGGGGGAATAGATACACTAAATGAGGAAATAGATACACTTGGTGGGGAAATAGATACACTTGGTGGGGAAATAGATACACTAAGTGGGGAAATAGATACACTAACTGGGGGGTAGTAAATACACTAAATGGGGAAATAGATACACTAAGTGCAGGAAATAGATACAATAAATGGGGAAATAGATACACTAAATGAGGAAATAGATAAACTAAGTGGGGTAATAGATGCACTTGGTGGGGAAAATAGAAACACTAAGTGGGGAAATAGATAAACTAAGTGGGGTAATAGATGCACTTGGTGGGGAAATAGAAACACTAAGTGGGGAAATAGATAAACTAAGTGGGGAATAGATGCACTTGGTGGGGAAATAGAAACACTAAGTGGGGAAATAGATAAACTAAGTGGGGTAATAGATGCACTTGGTGGGGAAATAGAAACACTAACAGGGGAAATAGATACACTAACTGGGGGAATAGATACACTTGGTGGGAAATAGAAACACTAAGTGGGGGATAAACTAAGTGGGGAATAGATACACTTGGTTGGGAAATAGATAAACTGGTGGTGGGGAATAGATGCACTAAGTGGGGAAATAGATACACTAAGTGGGGAAATAGATAAACTAAGTGGGGGATACATCTGGTGGGTGAATACATACATTAAGTGGAGCAATACATACATCAAGTGTGGGAAATAGATAAACTAAGTGGGGAATAGATGCACTTGGTGGGGAAATAGAAACACTAAGTGGGGGGAAATAGATAAACTAAGTGGGGAAATAGATGCACTTGGTGGGAAATAGATACACTAAATGAGGGAAATAGATAAACTAAGTGGGGTAATAGATGCACTTGGTGGGAAAATAGAAACACTAAGTGGGAAATAGATAAACTAAGTGGGGTAATAGATGCACTTGGTGGGGAAATAGAAACACTAAGTGGGGAAATAGATAAACTAAGTGGGGAATAGATGCACTTGGTGGGGGGAAATAGAAACACTAAGTGGGGAAATAGATAAACTAAGTGGGGTAATAGATGCACTTGGTGGGAAATAGAAACACTAAGAGGGGAAATAGATAAACTAACTGGGGTAATAGATGCACTTGGTGGGGAAATAGAAACACTAAGTGGGGAAATAGATAAACTAAGTGGGGGAATAGATACACTTGGTTGGGAAATAGAAAAACTAAGTGGGGAAATAGATAAACTAAGTGGGGGAATAGATGCACTTGGTGGGGAAATAGAAACACTAAGTGGGGAAATAGATAAACTAAGTGGGGGATACACCTGGTGGGGGAATACATACATTAAGTGGAGCAATACATACATCAAGTGGGGAAATAGATGCACTTGGTGGTGGTAGAATAGATGCACCAAGTGGGGGGGATAGATACACTTAGTGAGGGAACAGATACACTGGGTGGGGAAATAGATACACTTGGTGGGGGAATAGATACACTAACTGGGGGTATAGATACACTGGGTGGGGGAACAGAAAAACTTGGTGGGGGAATTGATACACTAACTGGGGGAATAGATACACTTGGTGGTGGAATAGATACACTAAGTGGGTTATAGATGCACTTGGTGGGGAAATAGAAACACTAAGTGGGGAAATAGATAAACTAAGTGGGGGAATAGATACACCTGGTGGGGAAATACATACATTAAGTGGGGCAATACATACATCAAGTGGGGAAATAGATACACTTGGTGGTAGAATAGATGCACCAAGTGGGGGGGATAGATACACTTAGTGAGGGAACAGATACACTGGGTGGGGAAATAGATACACTTGGTGGGGGAATAGATACACTAACTGGGGGAATAGATACACTTGGTGGGGGAACAGAAAAACTTGGTGGGGGAATTGATACACTAACTGGGGGAATAGATACACTAAGTGGGGGAATAGATACACTTGGTGGGGGCATAGATGCATTAAGTGGGGGAATAGATACACTAAGTGTGGTATAGATGCACTTGGTGGGGAAACAGATGCACTTGGTGGGGAAAACATACACTAAGTGGGGAATAGATGCATTTGGAGGGGGAATAGATTCACTAAGTGGCGAAATATATACACTTGGTGGGGAATAGATATACTTGGTGGGGGAATAGAAAACTTGGTGGGGGAATTAATACACTAACTGGGGGAATAGATACACTTGGTGGGGGAATAGATATACTAAGTGGGGGAATAGATACACTAAATGGGGAAATATATACACTAATTGGGGTATAGATGCACTAAATGGGGGTATAGATACACTTGGTGGTGGAACAGATACACTAAGTGGGGTATAGATGCACTTGGTGGGGGAATAGATACACTAAGTGGGGAAATATATACACTAATTGGGGTATAGATGCACTAAATGGGGGTATAGATACACTTGGTGGTGGAACAGATACACTAAGTGGGGTATAGATGCACTTGGTGGGGGAATAGATACACTAAGAGGGGAATAGATGCACTTGTTCAGGAAATATATACACTAAGTGGGGAAATATATACACCAATTGGGGGAATAGATACACTAAGTGGCGAAATATATACACTAAGTGGGCAAATAGATACACTTGGTGGGGAAATAGATGCACTTGGTGGGGAAATAGATGCACTTGGTGGGCGAATAGATACACTAAGTGGGGAAATATATACTCTAATTGGGGGAATATATACACTAATTGGGGGAATATATACACAAATTGGGGTAATAGATGCACTTGGTGGGGAAATAGAAACACTAAGTGGGGAAATAGATAAACTAAGTGGGGGAATAGATGCACTTGGTGGGGAAATAGAAACACTAAGTGGGGAAATAGATAAACTAAGTGGGGGATACACCTGGTGGGGGAATACATACATTAAGTGGGGCAATACATACATCAAGTGGTGAAATAGATACACTTGGTGGTGGTAGAATAGATGCACCAAGTGGGGGGATAGATACACTTAGTGAGGGAACAGATACACTGGGTGGGGGAACAGAAAAACTTGGTGGGGGAATTGATACACTAACTGGGGGAATAGATACACTTGGTTGGGGCATAGATCCACTAAGTGGGGGAATAGATACACTAAGTGTGGTATAGATGCACTTGGTGGGGAAATAAATGCACTTGGTGGGGAAAACATACACTAAGTGGGGAATAGATGCATTTGGTTGGGGAATAGATTCACTAAGTGGCAAAATATATACACTTGGTGGGGAATACATACACTAAGTGGGGAATAGATGCATTTGGTGGGGGAATACATTCACTAAGTGGGGAAATAGATGCACTTGGTGGGGAATACATACACTAAGTGGGGGAATAGAAAAACTTGGTGGGGGAATTAATACACTAACTTGGGGATCAGATACACTTGGTGGGGGAATAGATACACTAAGTGGGGGAATAGATACACTAAGTGGGGAAATATATACACTAATTGGGGTATAGATGCACTAAATGGGGGTATAGATACACTTGGTGGTGGAATAGATACACTAAGTGGGGTATAGATGCACTTGGTGGGGGAATAGATATACACTAAGTTGGGAATAGATGCACTTGGTGGGGGAATAGATACACTAAGTTGGGAATAGATGCACTTGGTGGGGAAATATATACACTAAGTGGGGAAATATATACACTAATTGGGGGAATATATACAAAAAGTGGGGAAACATATACACTAAGTGGGGGAATATATACACTAAGTGGCGGAATATATACACTAATTGGGGAAATAGATGTACTAAGTGAGGGAATACATACACTTATTGGAGAATAGATGCATTTGGTGGGGAAATGGATACACTAAGTGGGGGAATAGATACACACTAAATAGGGGAATAGATACAGTAAGAGGGAAATAGATACACTAAGTTGGGAATACATACACTAAGTGGGGAAATAGATGCACTTGGTGGAGGAATAGATACACTAAGTGGCGAAATATATACACTAAGTGGGCAAATAGATACACTTGGTGGGGAAATAGATGCTCTTAGTGGGGAAATAGATGCACTTGGTGGGGGAATAGATACACTAAGTGGGGAAATATATACACTAAGTGGGGAAATAGATACACTATGTAGGGGAATAGATACACACTAAATAGGGGAACAGATACACTAAGTTGGCAAATAGATACACTAAGTGGGGAATAGATACACTAAGTGGGGGAATAGATACACACTAAATAGGGGAACAGATACACTAAGTGGGGAAATAGATACACTAAGTGGAGAATAGATACACACTAAATAGGGGAACAGATACAGTAAGTGGGGAAATAGATACACTAAGTGGGGGAATACATACACTACGTAGAGAAAAGATGCATTTGGTGGAGGAATAGATACACTAAGTGGCGAAATATATACACTAAGTGGGCAAATAGATACACATGGTGGGGAAATAGATGCACTTGGTGGGGAAATAGATGCACTTGGTGGGGGAATAGATACACACTAAATAGGGGAACAGATACAGTAAGTGGGGAAATAGATACAGTAAGTGGGGAATAGATGCACTTGGTGGAGGAATAGATACATTAAGTGGCGAAATATATACACTAAGTGGCGAAATATATACACTAAGTGGGCAAATAGATGCACTTGGTGGGAAAAAGATGCACTTGGTGGGGGAATAGATACACTTGGTGGGGGAATAGATACACACTAAATAGGGGAACAGATACAGTAAGTGGGGAAATAGATACAGTAAGTGGGGAATAGATGCACTTGGTGGAGGAATAGATACATTAAGTGGCGAAATATATACACTAAGTGGCGAAATATATACACTAAGTGGGCAAATAGATGCACTTGGTGGGAAAAAGATGCACTTGGTGGGGGAATAGATACACTTAGTGGGGGGAAAGAGGAACAGATACACTTGGTGGGGAATAGATACACACTAAATGGGGAACAGATACACTAAGTGGGGAAATAGATACACTAAGTGGGGAAATAGATACACTAAGTGGGGGAATAGATACACACTAAATAGGGGAACAGATACACTAAGTTGGGAAATAGATACACTAAGTGGAGAAATAGATACACTAAGTGGGGAAACATATACACTAAGTGGGCACATAGATACACTTGGTGGGGGTATAGATACACTAAGTGGGGAAATAGATACACTAAGTGGGGAAATAGATACACTTGGTATGGGAATATATACACTTAGTGGGGTATAGACTGAGTTGGTGGGGGAATAGATACACTTTGTGGGGGAATAGATACACTTGGTGGGGGAATAGATACACTAAATGGGGAATAGATACACTTGGTGGGGAAATAGATGCACTTGGTGGGAAAATAGATACACTAAGGGGGGGAATATATACTCTAAGTGGGGAAATAGATGCACTTGGTGGGAAAATAGATACACTAAGTGGGGGAATATATACACTTGGTATGGGAATAAATGCACTTGGTGGGGTATAGACAGAGTTGGTGGGGAAATAGATACACTAAATGGGGAAATAGAAACACTAAGTGGGGAAATAGATACACACTAAATAGGGGAACAGATACACTTATTGGGGAAATAGACACACTAAGTTGGGAATAGATACACTAACTGGGGGAATAGATACACTTGGTGGGGGAATAGATACACTTGGTGGGGGAATAGATACACTTGGTGGGGAAATAGATACACTAAATGGGGAAATAGATACACTTGGTGGGGAAATAGATACACTTGGTGGGGAAAAAGATGCACTCTGTTTGACTGACCTACCTGTAGGCATTGGGGGAATAGATACACTCTGTAGAGAAGTAGTCCAGTTTCTTAAAGTAGGCGTACCTGAAAGATCGGAGACATTACGGCCTCAGTTGATTAACAAGATCATGAAGAACAAACTATTAGAGTGTCAGTCAACTTGCAACTTACAGACTGATTTAACCACAGATTTCTTAGATGTGTAAACCAGCTATAGACTCCTCCTCCACCCATCCGTGCTCAACACGACCTAGCAGGTCTTCTATAAACTAACCATCTACTGAGACCGGCAACAACTGGGTAGCGAGTTTCCTTGTAAATCAACCCCACTGTAGATACATGGCAACACAGACTTCCAGTGTAGCAGTATTTACCCAAGGGCCAAGGCTTACACATACATCATATATTCTGTACAACACTGTAACACTGTGAGACACAGACTTCCAGTTGGCCAAGGCTACACATACATCATATATTCGGTACAACACTGTAACACTGTGAGACACAGACTTCCAGTTGGCCAAGGCTACACATACATCATATATTCGGTACAACACTGTAACACTGAGAGACACAGACTTCCAGTTGGCCAAGGCTACACATACATCATATATTCTGTACAACACTGTAACACTGTGAGACACAGACTTCCAGTTGGCCAAGGCTACACATACATCATATATTCGGTACAACACTGTAACACTGAGAGACACAGACTTCCAGTTGGCCAAGGCTACACATACATCATATATTCTGTACAACACTGTAACACTGTGAGACACAGACTTCCAGTTGGCCAAGGTTTACACATACATCATATATTCGGTACAATATTGTAATACTGTGAAACAAGGCAAATATATAAAGGGAGGTAACTCTGAACATGCTATCTGTGACTCCGGTTGTTCCCTTCCTTGCCTGTTATCTGCTGATCTCAGCATAAAACATGAACAGTGCATCAAGATACTTACATGACAATCTCCTTCTCATAGGTGTATTTAAATGGCTTACACCTGGGCAAAGCTCCATCCATGCCCTGGAATAAACAAATTATACTCACAAAAAATGATACACGAATAGATCCAACAGGAAGGCTTATCATACACCAATATATCCCACAGGAACACTACTCATACCCTAACATATCCCACAGGAACACTACTCATAAACCAATATATCCCACAGGAACACTACTTGTACACCAATATATCCCACAGGAACACTACTCATACACCAATATATCCCACAGGAACACTACTTGTACACCAAATATATCCCACAGGAACACTACTTGTACATCAATATATCCCACAGGAACACTACTCATACACCAATATATCCCACAGGAACACTACTTGTACATCAATATATCCCACAGGAACACTACTCATACCCTAATATATCCCACAGGAACACTACTTGTACCCTAATATATCCCACTGCAACACTACTTGTACATCAATATATCCCACAGGAACACTACTCATACACCAATATATCCCACAGGAACACTACTAAAACACCAAAATATCCCACTGGAAAGCTACTCATACACCAATATATCCCACAGGAACACTACTAAAACACCAATATATCCAACAGGAACACTACTAAAACACCAATATATCCCACAGGAACACTACTAAAACACCAATATATCCCACAGGAACACTACTAAAACACCAATATATCCCACTGGAACACTACTAAAACACCAATATATCCCACTGGAACACTACTCATACACCAATATATCCCACAGGAACACTACTAAAACACCAATATATCCCACAGGAACACTACTAAAACACCAATATATCCCACAGGAACACTACTTGTACACCAATATATCCAACAGGAACACTACTTGTACACCAATATATCCCACAGGAACACTACTCATACCCTAATATATCCCACAGGAACACTACTCATACACCAATATATCCCACAGGAACACTACTCATACCCTAATATATCCCACAGGAACACTACTCATGCCCTAATATATCCCACAGGAACACTACTCATACACCAATATATCCCACAGGAACACTACTCATACCCTAACGTATCCCACAGGAACACTACTCATACACCCATATATCCCACAGGAACACTACTCATACACCAATATATCCCACAGGAACACTACTCATACACCAATATATCCCACAGGAACACTACTCATACACCCATATATCCCACAGGAACACTACTCATACCCTAATATATCCCACAGGAACACTACTCATACACCCATATATCCCACAGGAACACTACTCATACACCAATATATCCCACAGGAAAACTGGTCATACCCTAATATATCCCACAGGAACACTACTCAAACACCAATATATCCCACAGGAACACTACTCATACACCAATACATCCCACAGGAACACTGCTCATACTCTAATATATCCCTAATATACCCTAAACACCCACCAATATATCAAAGAAGAATGCTACTCATACATCAATATGTCCTTGAGCCACAGCACTGATGCTTCAAGTACTACCACAGGTACTCACAGTTGTAATAGCTGTACATCTGCGCAACCTTGCAATGTCTCCACGTAAAACTGAAACAGAATTAAAACGACTATAGACTGTGAGAATGGAGGAGGAGATGTATATATATATAGAAACACTGTTTTACTGTTCACCAGGATAGCACGAACAAAGACTCACCAGTCAAACATCATCAGTTTTAACAATAGTGAAGACTCACCATTCATAATCACTGTCTCTGCTATGTCATCAGCATTGTGGCCTGAAACAAAGACATTGAGGTATGTCATCTGATAAGTCTCCACAAGTACTAGTACATCACCTGCTGAGTCTCCACAAGTACTAGTACATCACCTGCTGAGCCTCCACAAGTACTAGTACATCACCTGCTGAGCCTCCACAAGTACTAGTACATCACCTGCTGAGCCTCCACAAGTACTAGTACATCACCTGCTGAGTCTCCACAAGTACTAGTACATCACCTGCTGAGCCTCCACAAGTACTAGTACATCACCTGCTGAGTCTCCACAAGTACTAGTACATCACCTGCTGAGCCTCCACAAGTACTAGTACATCACCTGCTGAGTCTCCACAAGTACTAGTACATCACCTGCTGAGCCTCCACAAGTACTAGTACATCACCTGCTGAGTCTCCACAAGTACTAGTACATCACCTGCTGAGTCTCCACAAGTACTAGTACATCACCTGCTGAGCCTCCACAAGTACTAGTACATCACCTGCTGAGATCACCTGCTGAGCCTCCACAAGTACCTGTACATCACCTGCTGAGTCTCTACAAGTACTAGTACATCACCTGCTGAGCCTCCACAAGTACTAGTACATCACCTGCTGAGCCTCCACAAGTACTAGTACATCACCTGCTGAGTCTCTACAAGTACTAGTACATCACCTGATGAGTCTCCACAAGTACTAGTACATCACCTGCTGAGTCTCCACAAGTACTAGTACATCACCTGCTGAGCCTCCACAAGTACTAGTACATCACCTGCTGAGCCTCCACAAATGTGAGTACAATTCTGGCCACTTTGAGTATCATGATGACTCACCTGTCACAATCTTGTCCACCTTGAGTATCATGGCACCTCTGTCCAAAGCCTGGCGTCGAAACACTCCGCAAAATGTACCTATAACCATGGTAACAGTAGAACATCAATCAGAGATGACTTGGTACCAAAGTGAGCCATGTGAATCGATTTGTCTCTGATTTAAAACAAAAGGAGTAATTTATCTTATCAGCAACTGAGCATTCCAAATCTTTATTCAACATCACAAAACATATGCCATATTAATAATAATTCCTCACAGTTGTTCTTGAGGCCAATCTGCTTGACAATTGCATCCATCGTCCATCCATAGAGTTCCTGCAAATGAGATACAAATGATGCACACAGTGTATTCAGTACTATAGCATTCAACATGGGCCGAGATATCAACACTTTCATGTTCATAGACCAGACCCTGTCACTCTCTACAGTTATCTCCCCTGGGTTGTATATCTTCTTCATCTCGCGCAGACAAACCAACCACCACAAACATTCCTCATACATATCACTGAAAATTGTGAATGTTTGCTTCCAAACAATATTCTGTTCCACATTCACCACTAGAATTCACATGTTCAGATTCAGTTTATCGTAGTAAGTGACATACACAGGACAAAACAGCTGACGGGTACGAAACTGACCTCGTATGAGACGATCTTCAGTGGCAGGTCATACTGCTGCTGGTTCCTCTTCACCGTCTGCAAACAAAAGATCAGAGTGAGTCAACACTGTCCACCACCACAGGCTGTTACATACGTGCTAGATATATCAGTGACATGTAAGTTATCACCTCTGTACCCTGTGATCCCCTCATCTACAGACACTCAGGATCAGATACACCTACCTCCAGTGAGTCATCCCTGTACCCTGTGATCCCCTCTACTACAGACACACAGGATCAGATACACCTACCTCCAGTGAGTCATCCCTGTACCCTATGATCCCCTCTTCTACAGACACACAGGTTTAGATACACCTACCTCCAGTGAGTCATCCCTGTACCCTGTGATCCCCTCTTCTACAGACACACAGGATCAGATACACATACCTCCAGTGAGTCATCCCTGTACCCTGTGATCCCCTCTTCTACAGACACACAGGATCAGATACACATACCTCCAGTGAGTCATCTCTGTACCCTGTGATCCCATCATCTACAGACAGCAGGATCAGATACACCTTCCTCCAGTGAGTCATCTCTGTACCCTGTGATCCCATCATCTACAGACACACAGGATCAGATACACCTACCTCCAGTGAGTCATCCCTGTACCCTGTGATCCCCTCATCTACAGACACTCAGGATCAGATACACCTACCTCCAGTGAGTCATCTCTGTACCTTGTGATCCCCTCATCTACAGACACACAGGATCAGATACACCTACCTCCAGTGAGTCATCTCTGTACCCTGTGATCCCCTCATCTACAGACAGCAGGATCAGATACACCTACCTCCAGTGAGTCATCTCTGTACCCTGTGATCCCCTCATCTACAGACAGCAGGATCAGCTGAACGTTGTAGTTGTATCGCTGGTTGAGTAGTTTAAGGACATAAGCCAGTACAGTGGAGTCTACAAGAAAAATTATGGCTGGGTATATCTTGTTCGTTGTGGTACATGTTAAACTGTACAAAAATACAGATATCGTTCAAACAAATATGTATTTACAAAACTATTTATCACATCGACATCTTGTGACCAATCACTATCATTAAATTGTGGTATTGTGCACATTTTGACGTTTTACAGTGAAAGAAAGTGTCATAATATTCATGTATGTTACCCTTTCCACCAGATGCTCCCACAGCGATTGTCTCCCCTGGAGTGAACAGCCCAGCAGACGTGATGGTGTGGTGGACTTCCTCCTCAAAGGCTGAGAAGAAACACTCCTTGCACAGCGCATCTCCCTACAAGCAGAACATTTCATTAGATTCATATCTAACTGAGAGGAATGTATTCAAATATTTCAAAGATAATGATAGTCAAATATGACGTTTATTCATATTAAATTTATGGAAGAGTCAAACATCTCACAGATTCACATCAAGAACCCAGTAAAAACACAAACATTCCTAGGATATGTTTTTATTCTTTGTCATCGTAAGAAAATCTTTCATCAATAAGATCAGCCAAATCAATTTTGGATAAGGGAATCATACTAACAAACCCAGATGCAGATCTTCTATACACTAATGAAAACTGCTAAGAGTCAAGCATGGACACGGATTCAGTAGGCCGAGTAGGACCTCATGAATGAATTGTCAGAGGCCTGCAGTGATGGGCAAGGTGTGGACAAGGTGGCTGGAAGCTGGTGTTTGGACGTATCATGTATATTATCATCATAGTGACATTTGCTGCAGAGGATGGCGCCACTGAAGGCAGTCATGACCCGTAGATGTGTCTGATGACCAAACAATCAGGCAGATGCACATGCATGCCTGAAACTTGGTCAACACAAAGTGATGCTGTGAACGACTTTCTTGTTAGCCAACACAGCGGGGGACACCAGAAAAGGGCTTCACACATTGTACCCATGTGAGGAATAAAACCCAGGTCTTTAGCGTGACGAACGACCAGGCTACCCCACCATCCCAGATACAGGTGTAACAACTACAGTGTAGATGTACATGTCCGCCACCTAGACAGGTGTAACAACTACAGTGTAGATGAACATGTCCGCCACTAGGCTGGGATCAGTAGACAGGTGTAACAACTACAGTGTAGATGTACATGTCCGCTATGGGCACCACCTAGGCTGGGATCAGTAGACAGGTGTAACAACTACAGTGTAGATGAACATGTCTGAGCTATTTCGGCACACCTAGCAATATGGGATCAGTCAGGTGTGGGGGTGGGACAGATGTAACAACTACTGTGTAGATTGAACATGTCCTTCCGCCACTAGGCTGGGATCAGTAGACAGGTGTAACAACTACACTACAGTGTAGATGAACATGTCCGCTATGGGCACCACCTAGGCTGGGATCAGTAGACAGGTGTAACAACTACAGTGTAGATGAACATGTCCGCCACTAGGCTGGGATCAGTAGACAGGTGTGCAGGGATACAGGTGTAACAACTACAGTGTAGATGTACATGTCCGCTATGGGCGCCACCTAGGCTGGGATCAGTAGACAGGTGCAACAACTACAGTGTAGATGTACATGTCCGCTATGGGCGCCACCTAGGCTGGGATCAGTAGACAGGTGCAACAACTACAGTGTAGATGAACATGTCCGCTATAGGCGCCACCTAGGCTGGGATCAGTAGACAGGTGTAACAACTACAGTGTAGATGAACATGTCCGCTATGGGCACCACCTAGGCTGGGATCAGTAGACAGGTATAACAACTTCAGTGCAGATGTACATGTCTGCTATGGGCACCACCTAGGCTGGGATCAGTAGACAGGTGTAACAACTTCAGTGTAGATGAACATGCCCGCTATAGGCACCACCTAGGCTGGGATCAGTAGACAGGTATAACAACTTCAGTGCAGATGTACATGTCTGCTATGGGCACCACCTAGGCTGGGATCAGTAGACAGGTGTAACAACTACAGTGTAGATGAACTGACTGACTGAGTAAGGTTTTACGCCGCTTTTAGCAATATTCCAGCAACATCCACGGGTGGGAAATGGGCTTCACACATTGTACCCATGTGGGGATTCGAACCGGGGTAACAACTTTAACCACAGGTGTAGATGAACATGTCGCCACTAGGCTGGGATCAGTAGTCAGGTGTAACAACTTCAGTGTAGATGAACATGTCCGCCACTAGGCTGGGATCAGTAGACAGGTGTAACAACTACAGTGTAGATGAACATGTCCGCCACTAGGCTGGGATGAGTAGACAGGTGTAACAACTACTGTGTAGATGAACATGTCCGCTATGGGCACCACCTAGGCTGGGATGAGTAGACAGGTATAACAACTACAGTGTAGATGAACATGTCCGCCACTAGGCTGGGATCAGTAGACAGGTGTAACAACTACAGTGTAGATGAACATGTCCACTATGGGCACCACCTAGGCTGGGATCAGTAGACAGGTGTAACAACTACAGTGCAGCTGAACATGTCCGCCACTAGGCTGGGATCAGTAGACAGGTGTAACAACTTCAGTGTCGATGAACATGTCCGCTATGGGCACCACCTAGGCTGGGATCAGTAGACAGGTGTAACAACTACAGTGTAGATGAACATGTCCGCTATGGGCACCACCTTGGCTGGGATCAGTAGACAGGTGTAACAACTACAGTGTAGATGAACATGTCCGCTATGGGCACCACCTTGGCTGGGATCAGTAGACAGGTGTAACAACTACAGTGTAGATGAACATGTCCGCCACTAGGCTGGGATCAGTAGACAGGTGTAACAACTACAGTGTAGATGAACATGTCGCTATGGGCACCACCTTGGCTGGGATCAGTAGACAGGTGTAACAACTACTGTGTAGATGAACATGTCCTCTATGGGCACCACCTTGGCTGGGATCAGTAGACAGGTGTAACAACTACAGTGTAGATGAACATGTCCGCCACTAGGCTGGGATCAGTAGACAGGTGTAACAACTACAGTGTAGATGAACATGTCCGCCACTAGGCTGGGATCAGTAGACAGGTGTAACAACTACAGTGTAGATGAACATGTCCGCTATGGGCACCACCTTGGCTGGGATCAGTAGACAGGTGTAACAACTACTGTGTAGATGAACATGTCCTCTATGGGCACCACCTTGGCTGGGATCAGTAGACAGGTGTAACAACTACAGTGTAGATGAACATGTCCGCCACTAGGCTGGGATCAGTAGACAGGTGTAACAACTACAGTGTAGATGAACATGTCCGCCACTAGGCTGGGATGAGTAGACAGGTGTAACAACTACTGTGTAGATGAACATGTCCGCTATGGGCACCACCTAGGCTGGGATGAGTAGACAGGTGTAACAACTACAGTGTAGATGAACATGTCCGCCACTAGGCTGGGATCAGTAGACAGGTGTAACAACTACAGTGTAGATGAACATGTCCAATATGGGCACCACCTAGGCTGGGATCAGTAGACAGGTGTAACAACTACAGTGCAGCTGAACATGTCCGCCACTAGGCTGGGATCAGTAGACAGGTGTAACAACTTCAGTGTCGATGAACATGTCCGCTATGGGCACCACCTAGGCTGGGATGAGTAGACAGGTGTAACAACTACAGTGTAGATGAACATGTCCGCTTATGGGCACCACCTTGGCTGGGATCAGTAGACAGGTGTAACAACTACAGTGTAGATGAACATGTCCGCTATGGGCACCACCTTGGCTGGGATCAGTAGACAGGTGTAACAACTACAGTGTAGATGAACATGTCCCGCCACTAGGCTGGGATCAGTAGACAGGTGTAACAACTACAGTGTAGATGAACATGTCCGCTATGGGCACCACCTTGGCTGGGATCAGTAGACAGGTGTAACAACTACAGTGTAGATGAACATGTCCTCTATGGGCACCACCTTGGCTGGGATCAGTAGACAGGTGTAACAACTTCAGTGTAGATGAACATGTCCGCCACTAGGCTGGGATCAGTAGACAGGTGTAACAACTACTGTGTAGATGAACATGTCCGCTATGGGCACCACCTTGGCTGGGATCAGTAGACAGGTGTAACAACTACAATGTAGATGAACATGTCCGCTATGGGCACCACCTTGGCTGGGATCAGTAGACAGGTGTAACAAATACAGTGTAGATGAACATGTCCGCCACTAGGCTGGGATCAGTAGACAGGTGTAACAACTACTGTGTAGATGAACATATCCGCTATTGGCACCACCTTGGCTGGGATCAGTAGACAGGTGTAACAACTACAGTGTAGATGAACATGTCCGCCACTAGGCTGGGATCAGTAGACAGGTGTAACAACTACTGTGTAGATGAACATGTCCGCTATGGGCACCACCTTGGCTGGGATCAGTAGACAGGTGTAACAACTACTGTGTAGATGAACATGTCCGCTATGGGCACCACCTAGGCTGGGATCAGTAGACAGGTGTAACAACTACAGTGTAGATGAACATGTCCGCCACTAGGCTGGGATCAGTAGACAGGTGTAAAAACTACAGTGTAGATGAACATGTCCGCCACTAGGCTGGGATCAGTAGACAGGTGTAACAACTACAGTGTCGATGAACATGTCCGCTATGGGCACCACCTAGGCTGGGATGAGTAGACAGGTGTAACAACTACAGTGTAGATGGACATGTCCGCCACTAGGTTGGGATCAGTAGACAGGTGTAACAACTTCAGTGTCGATGAACATGTCCACTATGGGCACCACCTAGGCTGGGATCAGTAGACAGGTGTAACAACTACAGTGTAGATGAACATGTCCGCCACTAGGCTGGGACCAGTAGACAGGTGTAACAACTTCAGTGTAGATGAACATGCCCGCTATGGGCACCACCTAGGCTGGGATCAGTAGACAGGTATAACAACTTCAGTGCAGATGTACATGTCTGCTATGGGCACCACCTAGGCTGGGATCAGTAGACAGGTGTAACAACTACAGTGTAGATGAACTGACTGACTGAGTTTGGTTTTACGCCGCTTTTAGCAATATTCCAGCAACATCACGGGGGTGGACACCAGAAATGGGCTTCACACATTGTACCCATGTGGGGATTCGAACCCGGGCCTTCGGCGTGACGAGCCAACGCTTTTACCACTAGGCTACCCTACCGCCCGTGCAGATGAACATGTCCGCCACTAGGCTGGGATCAGTAGACAGGTGTAACAACTTCAGTGTAGATGAACATGTCCGCCACTAGGCTGGGATCAGTAGACAGGTGTAACAACTACAGTGTAGATGAACATGTCCGCCACTAGGCTGGGATGAGTAGACAGGTGTAACAACTACT